CAGGTTTGGGAATTTTTCGCTTATTGTTTCTTTGAATAAGCTCTCTGTTCCTTTCTCCCTCTCTTCTCCTGGAATGCCTCTTACCCTTATGTTATTTTTCCTTATTGCGTCAGTTATTTCTCATAGAAATTCTTCATTTTTTAAAGTATTATTTCTTTCCTCTTCCACCTGAATCATTTTAAATTTTTATCTTCAAGGTCACTAATTCTCTCTTCCATATGGTCTGGTCTATTTTCAATGTTTTCTACTCTATCTTTTCATCTCACTAATTGTATTCTTCATCTATAATATTTCTTTTTTTTTTTTTAGAATTTCAATTTCTTTGGTGACGTACTCCTTTTGTTCATTAATTTTATTCCTCAGCTCATCAAACTGTCTCTCTGAGTTTTCTTGTAACTTGAGTTTCTTCATGACACCTATTTTGAATTCTGCATCAGTTAATTTGTAATCTTCTGCAACTTCATGTTTGGTTTCTGAAGAGTTGTCATTTTCTTTCTGTTCTGCCATTTTATTGTAGTTCTTCATGGTGTTTGATAAATTGATTCTCTGCCAGCCCATTTGTTGTAGTAAATACCTTTGTTTTTTGGGTAAGGCTTTGGTTACTTTGGTTTTGAGCTGCTTCTGGGTTTATTTAAGAGCCTGCATTTTCCATTCTCCACTGCCTCTGCTAGATGTGTTGGCAGTGACCTCCTTGTGCTGCTTGTGCCTCTGAGGTTGCTGGTGCCTTGCTGCTTACAATGTTACTGTGGTCTCAGGTGTCACCACTGGGCTCACCAGGTTGTCAGAATTTCTGTTGCTTCTCCGGTCACCTGGGTCTCATGTTCCCCCACTAGGTCTCCATGGACTCTACATGGGGTGAGGTGCTGCTCCCCTGTGCACCCCCTGCACTGGTGTTCCCAGGTTGTCTAGTGGTTCTGGCAATACTACTGCCAAGAGCACTGGGTTTATGGGTTTCACTGTAACTGCAAGGGTCCTGGTGTCTTGTATGCAACCCCCACTTCTGGTAGAGTTGGTGTTGTGGCTGCTGTCACTGGGGGCTGGGTCACAGGATCTACTGTGGTTACTGAAGCTTCAGGTCACAGATAACACCCACCACCAGTGAGTGTCACTGCTGCTCATGCAGCTTCTGGTCACTGAGGCACACCAGTGTGCTTTGAAATTTCATGCCAGAGTTCCCCTCCCCAGCTGGGAAAATCTGCATTTTGGCTACTGTTCCCACTGCTGGAAAGACTGCCACCACTGCTGGGGGGGGGGGCTGGGTCACTGGCTGCCCTCTTTGTCCTGAATGACATGTACACCAACTTCCACTGCTGTTGGGAGGCAGGGGCTAAACCATGAGCGCTGTCTGCCTCTGTGGCCTCTGTTTGTGGGCATGCATGTCAATTTCAGTATGTGCATTTTGGATCACTGCTGCGAGGGGAGGCATAGGGGGCTGCTCCCCTAGTTCCACTGCCTCTCAGAGGTCCAGTCCACCACCTTCAGATGTATTGATACTAGGATCTCTCAGGCATTTTGGTGTTCTGTGTAGGGAGTCCTTTGTTGGTCAATAGATGTCCGACTGATTTTAACTTGGGAGAGACCAAAAGAGCAACTCACTCTGTCATGATGCTGATGTCACTCTCTGTCTCTTTGTCTCTTGACAATTTCAGTATAATATGTCAGTGTGGTTCTCTTCTACTGTATCCTACCTGGAGTTTATTGAGTTTATTGAATGTGTATATTCATGTCTTACATCAAATTTAGGAAGGTTTTGCCCATTTTTTTGTAAATATACTATCTTTTCCCTTTCTGTCACTTTTCTTGTTCTAGGACTCCCAAAATGCATATTTTGGAGTGCTTGATAGTATCTGACAGGTTCCTTGAGCTATGTTATTTTTTAACTTATTCTTTTTTTATGGATATTCAGACTGGATAATTTTAACTGTCCTATCTTCAAGTTTGCTGATTGTTTTTTCTGTCTTCTGAATCTGGCTGTTGAATTCTCGTAGTGAATTTTTCATTTCAGTTATTGTCCTTTACAGCTGCAGAATTTCTATTTTCTTCTTCTTTGCAATTTATCTCTCTTTTATTGATTTTTTTATATTTGTTCAGACATCACTCCTCTTATTTCCATGAGTATTTGTCCATAGTTGTTTTAGATGTTTGAGCATATGTAAGACAAATGATTTAGAGTCTTTGTCTACTAAGATTGGATTGGTGGTTATCAGAGGGGAAGGAGGAAGGGAGGAGGGCAAAAAGGATAATTCGGCACATGTGTGTGGTGATGGGTTGTAATTAATATTTGGGTGGTGAACATGGTGTAATCTATGCAAAAATAGAAGTATAATGATGTACACCTTAAATTTATACAATGTTATAAATCAATGTTACTGCAATAAACAAAAAATTTAAAAAAATAGACAAAGTCTTTGTCTACTAAGTCCAATGTTTGGGCTTCCTCAGGGACAGTTTATATCAATTTCTTTCTTTTTCTGGTCAATCCACCATATTTTTACTTTTCTGAGTATGTCTTGTGCTTTTTTCTGTTAAAATTTGGACAACTTGAGTATCATAATATGGCAACTCTGGAAATAAGATTCTCTTACCACCTTAGGACTTACTTTTGGTGATTTTTGTGGCCTGCAATTGTCTGTTTTTATAGTGACTTTTCTAAAATTTTTTTGCACTTTATTTAATGTTGTGTGTTTTCATTGAAGTCTTTGTTCTGTTATCTCAGCAGTCAAAAAGTGAATTGACAGAAATTGCCTTAAACACTTGAAGCCAAAAAAAGCAAAAAACATTCCCAGTCTATTCATATTGGCACTGAACTGGGTCAGTCCTTCAACACTTAGACAGGTTGCCTGAAATTGTGCTTTAGCCTTCACTTGCTGCTTATGGAGGACCCAATTATCATCCAGAGGTTCAAACCAAGGGTCCTTCTAGTTCTTTTCTAAGCATGCTTTCAGCACTGGGCATATATGTTGCACTCCAGCTTCCCCAGTATATGTGGTAATTTTTCAATGCCTTTATTTTCTCCAAAATCTTCCTGTTTGTCATTCTCTTTCCCAGGCTTTGAGTCAGCCTGCTGCTTGTCCTTTCCACCTTCCCCTTCTCCCAGGCAGCTACAGGTAGTGTATGTCATTAAATGTTTTGACAGATGCTGTCAGAAAGCCACTCATGCCCAAAGAGGTGAAACAAAGGTCAGTTTCTGTGCTGAAAACTCAGGGAACTACCAGAGAGATCAAAACAAACAATCACAATTTTTTGATAACAAGGTCCATATTGCCTTAACTAAAACCAGCAAGCTGTATTGGCAAAGTGTTCTATCCCGAAAGATGCTGCAGAGCTGGAGAATGAGGAATGATAGGTGGGTAGGCAAAAATAGCACAACTCCTTACCAAAATTAAGCAGCTTCTTCATTAAATATTCCCCTGTTTATGGCAAGATTTTATTAAATTTCAGCATACTGGAAAAAAGATAATTTAATCAGGATTTTTGGTCGGCTTAATTTTTGCTTCAGTGAAAGGACTGACTTTTGGAGCTCCCTACTCTGCCACTTCTGTGATGTCACCTTCCCTTGATACATTTTTACATCATCAAACTTTATTGGGCCTGTGGATACCAATCGTTTGGCAAATTACTGCACTGGAAGTTTTTTTACAACTGAGTAGGTTGGCATAGGGTAAACCTGTACAGAGTCACTTTGGAGTAGATGACAATCCCTCTCACCCTGGCCCTCCAAGTTATGGGTTAAAGGAAAGGTTTATGTGTAGATCCTTTTTTTTTCTATTTGTCCTTCTAGCAGCCTTTTTCCAGTTCTTTAGGTGACCATAATGGTCAAATCAGTAATAACTGTGACAGTGATTAGCCATAACACCCCACTTAAGCAAACAAGATATATGTGTTTAATTTCATTTTATAGCAAAATCTGTGGCTTTATAGCTACATATTCCCTTTGCAACAGCTTAAGCCCATGTTAATCCAATCATGGTAGGTTTGGATAGCTTGTCCCACTGCATTACATCTCGATAATAATTCAGTTGAGCATTACCTAGAAGTAAGGCTTTCCAGTACTGGATCTATTAGCAATATGTGTATATTTAAACTTAACTACATTAAGTAAAATTAAAAATTTGTTGTTGCTACTCACAGCTTATTGGTGCGACTCACAGCTCAAGTGCCCAATAATTACATATGGCTAGTGGCTACTATATTGCACAGAGAAAATATAGAACATTTCCATTATTGGATAAAATTCTATTAGGCAGTGTATGTTTATAACTTCCCTACTCAAAGTGAAGATCAACAGAATCAATATCACCTGACTACTTAGAAAGGCAGAGGTCAGGGCAGAGGATTGTATCTACTGCAGCCATCCCACACCAAGAAAAGATGCAGCAGAACAGAGTCTATATAAATCACTCAAAATTCCTCAAGACGTTCATCCTGCACACTGCAATTGGTATAAAAGTCATAAGAAAATCAGGTTGGGATAATTCAAGAGATAACAGCATTCAGTTGAAGTGTAAGATTGAGGGGGTTAATGTTGTGGTGAGTATCATCAAGTGGATAGAGAGGATTACCCGTTCCCAAAATTTTTATTAGCATCCAGATTTTAAACAGAAGTGCAGCATTATTTTCTTTAGTCTAATCTCATGATAAAACTAATGAGGACTCAATTTTGTTACCATACTCTATCAATATGACTATGTCTTTTTAATCATACTATTATAATTGATGCTGCAGTAAGGAATATAGTTTCCAGAATTATTTCCAAAATTTCAGGAAGCCATCTTTACAGATTCTAAATCTCCCTTAGTAGATTTTGAAACAACCACTACTCCCACAGGCCTCATGTAAGTTAAGAGTTGTAACTCATATTCTTAACAGTACTCCAGGCTAACCTCCAGTTTGAAACAAGGGACATATATGAAAATACTAATATCTTTCAGATATCAATGATCCACAAATGGCCTAGAAGTAATCAATTAATTCTGCCCCTTTGATTGACAAAACACACACTAGTTCTTGCAGATATAAAGACTCAATACTTCTATGTTCAACTGACCAGCAGAATAATACTGGATGATATTCAACATCTAAAAAGACATAATATGATGTTAAAAGTTAATTTTTATGAAGTATTTGACAATGTAGGATTGACTATGTTCCTCAATGGACCCTATGTAACAGAATGGTAAAATGCTTCTTACTACCACTCAAGCCATCCACAGACACACAGCAGTGACATTCAAATTTAGAACTGAAGACTGACCCCTTCCATATTTGATAAGTGTTTGTCAAATAAGCTTGTGATGTTCAGTCATCAGACACTGAATGACACCAATGAGACTCTATTCTCCGAGTAATAATAATCAAGTCTTTGTCTATAGTGAGATGGTCCATGGTGGTAAAAGACATCCCTCCTCTTTGTCCCCCCTTTTAACAACAAAATATTAACATGTATTCATGAACAGAAGTGCCTATGTGGGAGATGTGGGATACATCATGATACTTCTAGGGACCCAGGAAGAGTCTTACGCACCTGTGCAGTGGGTAATAGGCAGAAATAACTCAGTATTGGCTGTAGAACCAGCAGAATCCAGTGAACAGGCCCCAATTCCTTTCAGCCATGGTCAGGGAAAACCTGGAGCATGATGGTTGGGGCAGACACCCACAGACTATAGAGACTCTGTAGAAGTCCATCCTTCCTGTAGTCAGATTCTAGAACTCCATTGGAGCAAAAAAAAATATGTTTTGATTCATTAGATAGGGTATGATAAACTTTTCCACCACCCCTCATCCAAGGTGATACAATGTGGGGTGAACTAGCTGGAGTGATCTCTCCCAAAAGGGAAATGGAGAGCAGTGAATGAGGGCCCAGCTATCCCAACTGTGCAGCCTGCTGCAGGAGAAATTCTTTTCTCTCTAGCAAATTCAAAGTAATGAGGTGAGACTTCCATATCAAAAGGCATTAAAGGGATAAGAATATCAAAAGGCATTAAAGGGACACAATTCCTGCTCACTGTATTCAGGACTTCATCAGGAAACCTGGCCATGAGCCATTGGGAAAAATTCACTGAAAGATATATCCTGACCTGACCTGGAGGTACACCCACACTGAGTGCTACACCTCCCCTGATTATTCAAATGACTTGGGCACACTCTCAAATGTAGTGGCAAAAGTAAATTTTGGTGACCAGTTAATGCATGCAAAAAATCAAGCCAAGATCTGTGGGCAAGGTAGTAATCACAAACTTGAGCTGCAGAACTCCTACTGGAAAACAAAGAGGTTTCCAGCAGCCAGACTTTGTGAGTTGTAAAAAACAGAGAAGATTACAAGCTTAAGAGTTCAGCTACAAAAGGGAGCAAAAAGTGTGGATCAGGAGTAGTCATACAAGGTTGGAAAAAATTCCAGATAAAAGTAGGACTAACAGAAAATTCTCCCACCTGAATACAACTAGTAAAGATTTGAGGCGATATCTTCCCTTTTAAATGTAAAAACAACAATGCAAAACTCCAAGGAATATGAAGAATTCAATAAATATGTCATCACCAAAAGAAAACAATAATGCCGTAGTAACTGATCTTTAAAAAATGGAATTTTGCAATCTAGCTAATAAGGAATTCAAAATAGCTGTTGTGAGGAAACTCAATTAGCTACAAGAAAACAAAGACAGACAATTCAATGAAATCAGAAAAAGTACATGATCAAAATGAGAAGATTCACAGAGATAGAAATCATAAAAAAAAACCAAACAGAAATTCAAGAGTTGTAAAATTCAATGAACAAAATAAAATATGCAATAGACAGCATCAATGGTAAATAGACCAAATGGAAGATAGAATAAATGAGCTAGAGGGGAAGAACTTTGCAATAACCCATCAGAGGAGAACAAAGAAAAATGAATGAAAAAGAGGCAAGAAACCTAAGTAATCTGTAGGAATCCATCAACTATACAATTATTAGGATAATTGGATTTCCAGAAGGGGAGGAGGGAGAGAAGGGGGCAGAAAGGCTATTTAAAGAAATAGTAGCTGAAAGCTTTCCAAACCTGGTGAGATAATTAGATATCCAAGTTCATTAAGCTAAGAGATCACCTCATTATCTCAAATCAAAACAAACTTCTACAAGACACATTATAATACAATTCTCAAAAATCAGACAAAGAGAGAACGATGAAAGCAGCAAGTGAAAGAAAATGATTGTAACCTACAAAGAAACCACCATTAGGCTATCACCATATTTCACAGCAGAAATTCTCCAAGTCAGGGGAGAGTGGAATGATATATTCAAAGTGGCAAAAAATATGGCATCAAAGAATACTCTACCTGACTTATTTATTCTTCAGATATAAAGAAGAAATAAAGACTTACAAAGAAAAGCAAAATGTGAGGGACATCATCACCACTAGACCTGTCTTGCAAGAAATTCTAAAAAAGTTGTTCAAGTAGAAATGAAAAGACACTAATTAGAAACATGAAAAAATACAAAAATATACAACACACTTATAGGTAAATATATAGTTAGATTTAGAAAACTCTAATTTAATAACATGATGGTATGTTAACCACTTGACTATAGCATAAAGGTAAAATGAAAGGAGTATTAAAAATAACTATAGCTACTATAATTAGTTAACAAATGCACACAATAAAAAGAGGTAAATTGTGACATCAAAAGCTTCAAAAAGGAGAGTAAAAGAGTAGAGCTTTTGTATGCAAAGTTAAATTACTATCAGTTTAAAATAGACTATTTTATCTATAAGTTGCTTTACATAAGCCTCATGATAACCATACAGCAAAACTTATAGTACATCCACAAAAGACAAAGCACGGGAATTAGGTGTGCTACTACAGAAAATCACCACTTGACAAAATTAGGCAGAATCAGGATAAAAGAAACAAAGAAACTACAGAACAACCAGAAAACAATTAATAAGATGGCATTAGAAAGTCCTTACATAAAAATTAATAAATGTAAATGGATTTAATTTTCAGATTGATAGGCACTGAGTGACTAGATGGATGAAAAAACAAGATCCAAAGATATGCTGCCTATGAGACTCATGTCAGCTTTAGGGAAACACATAGGTTTAAAGTGAAGAGATAGAAAAGATATTCCATGCAAGTGGAAACCAAAAAACAGCAGAGGAAGCTATACTTAAGTAAGATAAACTAGTCTTTAGCCAAAAACTGTAACAAGAGACAAGGAAGATCATTATAAAATGATAAAGGAGTTAATTGATCAAGTAGATATAACAATCATAAAAATATACAAATCCAACATCACAGCACCTAAATATACTAATCAAATACTAACAGATATGAAGGGTAAAATAGACAAAAATATGAGAGTAGAGGACTTCAATACCTCACTTTCAGCAGTGAATAAATCATCCAGACAGAAAATTGGCAAGTAAACATTGAACTGAACCATACATTAGACCAATGAACCTGTTAGACATTTATACTACATTCATTCTGAAAGCTCCAAATCACACATTCTTGTCGAATGCACATGGAACATTTTCCAGGATAGATCATATAATAAGCCACCAAACAAGTCTTAGCAAACTTATGTTGATTAAAATCATACCAAGTGTCTTTTCTGACCGCAATGGTATGAAACTAGAAATCAGTAACAGAAGGAAAGCTGGAAAATTACAATTATGGGGAGATTAAACTTACTCCTGAACAAGCAATGGGTCAAAGAAAACATCAAATGGGAGATCAAGAAATATCTTGAAAGAAATCAAAAAGGAGACATAACGTATCAAAACCTATGGGATATTGAAAAATCATTTCTGAAAGAGAAGTATATAGTGATAAATGCCTACATTAATAAATAAGACAGAACTCAAATTAACAACCTCACTTTACACCTGAAGGAACTAGTAAAAGAACAAACTATGAGACCAAAACTATCAGAAGGATAGAAATGAAAAATATCAGAGAAAAAATAAATGAACTGGAGAAAAGAAAAATAGAAAAAAATCAATGGAACTAAGAGCTGGGTTTTTTGAAAAAATAAACAAAATGGACAAACCTTTAGCTAGACTAACAATGGAAACAAGAGAGACGATACAAATAAATAACAACAGAAGTGAAAGCAGAGACATTACAAATTATACCACAGAAATACAAAGTATCACTAGAGACTACTATGAAAAATTGTATGTCATTAAATCAGATAACCTTGAAGAAATGGATAAATTCTTACAAACATAAAACCTACCAATTCTGAATCATGAAGAAATAGAAAACCTGAACAGACCAATAATGAGTAGGTAGATAGAATCAGTAATAAAAAACATCCCACACCAGATGGTTTCACTGTTGAATTGTACCAAACAATTAAAGAAGAAATAATGCCAATCTTTCTCAAACTCCTTCAAAAAATTGAAGAGGAAGTAACATATCGAAACTCATTTTACGAGGCCAACATTACTCTGTTACCAAAGCCAGTTAAGGACACTACAAAAAAAAAAAATCCAATAACCTCAATGACTATAGATGCAAACATTCTCAATAGAATATTAGCAATCCAAATTCGATAATACATTAAGAGGATCATACACCATGACCAAATGGGCTTCATCCCTGAGATGCAAGAATGGTTCACGTATGCAAATCAATTAATGTGTTATGTCACATTAATAGACATAAAGATAAAAATCATATTATCCTGTCACTACATGTAGAAAAACATTTGACAAACTACATAATCCTTTCATGAGAGAAACCCTCAACCAATTGGTTACAGAAGGAACACACCACAATAAAATAAAAACCATGTGTGACAAACCCACAGTTCACATTATACTCAGTGGTGAAAGCTTGAAAGCTGTTCCTCTAAGATTAGGAACAAGACAATCATGCCCACTCTCACTATTCTTATTCAACATAGTACTGGAAGTCCTAGATAGAGAAATCAGGCAAGAAAAAGAAATAAAAGGCACCAGAATTGGAAATAAATATGTAAAACTGTCCCTATTTGCTCATCACATGATTTTATACATGGAAAATACTAAAGACTCCACTAAAGTTTGATTAGCTCTAATCAACAGACTCAGTAAAGTTGTAGCACACAAAATTA